AAATTTTCTAATTTTTGGCCTTTGTTTAATATTTTTTATTTAAAAAATAATGTACGTCTAATTGATCAAAAATTTTTTTCATTGCTACTGGATATAGGAGAAGGCGAAGTTGAATCTTTTAGAATTACTTAGCCATGGAAAACAAATGACATGTGTTTTAAAATTTCCAATAATAATGATGATCTTTTCGTAAGTAAAGCTATATTAACATCTTACAATGAATACACATTTTTTGAACAAAAAAATTTTGAATAATACGGTAGAAAAATTTGTATCGTATGAAAATATTGATAAATTAACTCACAAAGGAGTAAATAAATCAGACGATAGTATTTATATTCATTTTCCTACAGCATATTTAAAGAGTATTAAAAAAGATCTTCCTTCATACGAATTGGATTTAAAAAGTAAGGCTATTGTTATGTTAGTATCAAACTCAATCGTATCTGAAGGACTTTGCAATGGTACAAGATTACGAATTACAAAATTATTTAAGTATAATATTGAAGCTGAAATAATCACAGGTAAAAGAAAAGAAAATAAAGTCTTTATTCCAGGAATGACACTCAATACAAGCAATTCTTCTTCACTACCATTTATGTTGCACAAAAAACAATGTTCATTTAGTTTAGCTTTTTCTATGACTATCGATAAATCTCAAGGTCAAAGTTTTGGTGCTTTGGGACTTTACTTTCGAAAGCCTTTATTTTCTTATACGCAATTATATGTTGCATTGTCTAGATGTAGAAACCAAAAAAAAGTTTTCATCTAAATTGAATCAGTAAACAAATTTAAAATTAAAAATATTGTTTAAAATGAAACTTTAGAGTAACAGAAATACTATTCTATAATTTATTCCTATTTTTATAGTCTCTTGCAAATTTTTTCTTCCATCAAAAAAGCAAGTTTTAGTACCTTCTAGTACCCAGATTTATGTAATCATAAACAATCCGTTTTTTGTAATATGTTTTTAGATACACTATCATGGATGCAAAATTTTATCAGTGTGACAAATGTAACTCAAAATTTTTAAATCAAGAGTGTCCATCATCGCACGAAAAAATTCATAAAAAAAAATTTTCTGTATGTTATCTGAGTAGCATTATAATATTAGACAAGAAAAACTATTTGCGTCACACAAAGGAATGCCAAAACATTGAAAAAAATTGTAAGTGTATTAAATGCGAAAAAAGTTTTAAAAGAAATTATCACTCACAGAGACATTAGAAAAGTCCTGAAAAAAATGTTAAAAAAAATATTTTTAAAAATTGTGGAAAAGGTTATGTAAGAGCAGAGCACCTAAAAAGACATTTTAGAGTAGGTAATTAAAATAAATATCGTAAGTAAGATAATTGTAACAAAATTTTTTGTTATGGTCAAATAAAATTATATGTGAAAATTAGACCACTTGCAACAGTTAATATATAAGGCTTTACGAATATATTTACATTCTATATAAAGAAGCTGGGGGAGAGCGGGGGGGAGCTAGCGAAAAAGTAGGATTACTCGAAAAATGCAAGAAAAT